AAATTTTAGTACTATACATTACTCAATTTCTTAATTTAACAGTAAATATAAAAAAAAACAGTTAAACATCGATTTATGTTTGTCATGTGGTATGTTGAATGCAGCACTGGTTCAAATTTGATGTTTGTGATGTCAAAATACTAAGTCTATAGTTTCGTATGAATTAGGAACTCAAATTACCGATATTGACAAGGTAGAATATAAAATAAGAGCCTCTTATCTTTTCAATTTGCTAAGATGTTGCTCATGTAATAAATGAAACACAGTGGCACCCCAACTACCGCTTTTCATTTTTGAAAACGCTCCCTTATACACACTTACTTCTATATATATGACATGAATAACCAATTGGAAACTAGATGCCATCTCTTTATTTTGAATCAAGATTTTAAGGAGGTAGGTTGTGTCTTTAGTCTGCTCAGAATTTCATATTTTTTTAGACTGAAATTCAGCTTAGTTACTAAGCTTGATAAATTATAATGGAATTCTATGGTATTGATATGCTAATTTATGATTTTTTGGTAATTGAGCTGTATATATATATGAAACCTAAATAAAATTTTGTTTCATATCCTCCAGGTTCAAAATTTTAAAAGGCTTAGCAACCTATGTCAAGCAGCAACCGAGTACAAAGGATGTAACTAGAAGAGATAATTGTTTACTTTACTTCTTTATTGTTCTATGTTTCAAGAAAAATAAGTTTAAGAACTCATTTCTAAATAGCAATAATCTATATACATATATAATATATAATGATTGAAATGTGACTGTATTTTACAAAATACTAGTCGACTAAAACACAGTCAAAATAGGTCACTTTGTAAAGACTAAAGGTCAGTTTTATATTATTGGATATGGTAACATGAGTGCATGTGCACCGTGTCATTGTAACTTCAGTATTGTTAGCCTGGCATGGCTGAAAGGTCAATATAATAACAATATAAGCTATTTAGTTTAGTTTTCATGCCATAATTTGTAGTCATTCTAGAACAAAAAAGGCATAACTTAAATTTATTTCCTAATTTTTTTAACAAGGTTACAAGATCGGTCAAATAGACCAAACCCGTATAGCGATTTGTTACTGAAAATAACAGATAAAGTAGTTTTTTTTCTTAAGAACCGTTTGATGATTATCTGGACATTATAAAGATTTTGCATGTGAAATTTGAAAATTTTCTGATGCATAAAAGTATTTTTAATCTTAAAATGAAAATTACTTTGCATGCTAGATAGGCAACATCCAAAAAGAAAAAAAAAGGCATGAGAAAAACATTGCTTTACAAACCTTAAGACTTAATAAGAAAATTTGATATTTTGCATTAAGCGTTGTAATGTTTACTGATAATATACCAAATTTCGTAACATATGCTTACTAATTTAAAAGTTAAAGCATGAAAACTATAACAAGCACAAAATGGTTACATGCTGAAAGAGTTAAAGGGGCCATTTGTGTATTATATAAAAATAGAAAATACAAGTTACTGTAAAGCAGATGTATCTGTAAACTTTCTGTAATGATTGTTGTTTTTATATATAAATGTATATATTTATATTAATAAAATAATTAATTAATATTTATATATACATATATATATATATGTATACATATAGAATCATGAAATATGGTAAAGAATTATGTTAACATCTGCCAATATCTATATAAATAGAACAATTTTTGTTTTTCTTAATATTCTCTGTTAAGTATTTATTTATTTTTCCAGTTTCATGCAATGGACATTTTACACCAAAATAACTATGATATTGCACGTGCAATCTCAAGCCTAGTCACATCAAAAGGTCCTGTACTCTGTCGGGATGAGATGGAAGAGTGGTCAGCCTCTGAGGCTAATCTTTTTGAAGAAGCTCTTGAAAAATATGGAAAGGATTTCATTGACATTAGGCAAGATTTTGTATGTACACACAGAGTGTTGCTTCAAAAGCACCATTCTTCTTATTTTTTTCTTTAAAGTCATAGAAGAACATTGCTAGATAAAGTTTATGCATGAAAGTAATTTATACATTTGACTTTAATGAATTTGTGTGTATGACTGTTTGACAGAGTAAGAGTATTTCAAGTACTAAGTTTAATTTTCCCCCAAAGTTTCAGTATTGTATCATGTACATATATTAAGTTTGATTAAAAATTTCAGATAGTTTTCTTCTTCTTTATACCTTTGTGAAACCTAGCTGTCACATTGAAGAAATTTTGTCTTTACGTGAAAAGTCGATACACATCAGAAATTAAGTCTACTATATGTTATTATTTGAAAGTGTTACTGATTATTTTCTCATAAACATTTTATATGTGATTAATTTAAAAAACAATCTCAACCTAGAAATATGTTATTGTCTCTTGTTTTTATATTATATATGCATGTCAATGTGATTTAAACCTGACTACTTCTGTCATTTGTGATTATAGTGTATTATTGTTAAAACTGTATTTCAAATGAACTGTTTTTCTTATCACAAGTATCTGTGTTCTTATCTATTTATTAAAAACACCTAAGATTATATTTTACATGTTATATAGAAAAGTCTGAAAGAACATATTCGAGATTACTATTTCAGGAAAATTAATATTTTGTGTTATATATCATTTAATACTTATATTTATAATATTACAGCTTCCATGGAAGAGTTTAAAAAATATTATTGACTACTACTACATGTGGAAAACCACAGACCGTCATGTACAACAGAAAAGAGTGAAAGCTGTCGAAGCTGAGAGCAGGCTGAAACAAGTTTACATTCCTAATTAGTTAGTGTGACTTCATTATTATCCTTGGCTGATTTTGATCTAAAAGTTTAAGTTACAGTTTTAATTACTTAGTTATTAGAATATACAAGTTCAGAAGAAGGTTTATAAAGATCTTGCCAGACTAAAACTTAACTTTCTAGTTTTTCAGTGCAATTGAGAAATTTTAATTTAACATTTTCTCTCTTTTTCTGTCAAACTGTGTGAAATGTATGTATGTAATTTTTATTATAGTAACAACAAATCTACCACATTAAATGGTCCAACTGGAGAAAATGTGGTGTCAGGAGGAAGACCGTGTGAGAGCTGCTATAGTAAGTAATTTGAAAATTAATTATGTGCTGTTGATGTTTATTGACTGTCAGACTTACACAGTTAACCCTCTGCCCAGGCATCATTTACTGCACATGTCATGAGGTTTTAATGGCTTACATTCAAAATTTTATTGAACTACTTTTTTTATGTTATACCAATTAGTATAGCATAAAATTGTAGCTAATAATCCATATTTTAATAGTTTATAAGTTATAAGTTCTTAATTTTTATAAGGCAATATTTAAAAAAATCCTGAATTTTCCCTAGTGTGAGAAAGGTGACACATTTTCTGTAGGTATCCCTTCTTCTTTATTCTATTCACCCCCCTTCAATAAGAAATTCTATGTAAATTGCTCACTATAAAATTGTCATTGTTCAGACAAACTCTAATTTTTATAGGTTCCAATTTTGTTTGGTTACAGAGTCATCAAATAGAAAATCAGACCCCTCTTGCCACACCCACCTGTCACATCCTCTCTTCCAGGATTTGTTAGTAGTTCTCTCTTACGTTTAATTCTATATTATCTATAACCAATAGAAAGCCAAGGTTTTCATCTATCAATTGACGTGGTATATTACATTGTGTTCTGAACAGAGAATTGTCAATTTCTCTTTTAGTACAAGCTTCGTTTGCACTGGAAAGATAATGAATAGCTTGGATAAATTTGTAACAGCTTTTTTTGCATAGTTAGAAAGCCAGAAAATAGTTAGAGGAAGCTGTCTGCTTTTTGCATGTTATTATTCTATGTTCTTTGATGCATTATTTAATTAAATAAAAATTCAGTGCAAAAAATAAAAAAAAAAGTAGGGTTAAGGGTCATCGACAGTTGACAGCAAAAAAAAGAAGACACAGGTAAATACTTTATTTCTTGTTTTTCATGTTTATTCTTTACTTATTATTATTATAAAAGTAACTAAAAGGTAAAAATAGAGATCTCTTTAGGGTAGTTAAGGTTAGATTAGGTAAAATAAATAATAATAATATAATAAAAGTGTTTT